AACTCGAATGCAACTGATGACAAATACATAATACTTTAAGCAAAGAGACTGCCTGATATGCATTTTATACACAAACAAAACAAAACAAAAACAAATAATTGCCAACACATCAACTAATAAATAAATAGATACAAGTACAGGCCATGTACTGTGCATAGCAACCACTCAAGCATACATATATACAATGCATAAACAGAATCCATATGTGTACTATTTTTAGAAGCAAAATTATAGTGATAAGAACTTGTAGTATTCGTATTCGAACATATACATACATAGATGCATGTACTTGTACATGTACGTTCCAGTGAACAACCCAATCAATATATTTACACAACAGCTACTTAGATAACTCTTTCGCTTAAGATACATACATACATATGTATATGTATATGTATGCACAATATATGATTTTTGTTTCGTTTTCTAGCTAAATGCTTAATTATCAAAGCACATTTTTTTGCATTGCAATTTCTATGGCAATTACTTAAAGCAATTGGAAAACCAATAAACATATACATATAGCAACATATGGGTATATATACACCATCTCCTTATATACATACATTAAATATTAACAACTTTCTTAAAATATATTCTGTTGTAAGTGTAATTAGCTTATGGAATACCCAACCCAACCCAATCCAATCCCCCCCATTCCGTATAAATAAAAGAGAAAACAACTTTTTTAACAGCTTTAAACGAATGTGTGTTGACGCCAGATGCTGCAATTAATTTATTCATTAATCCAGCTGCCGAATACTGGGGTCACTTAAAGGTCATCCCATGTTTGTGGGACTAGTTTGAAACTAGGTTTCGTCGTGGATTCAGCAAATCTAACTCAAATTCATCAAAATCACACAAACATTTGTCAAATGAATCGATCCATATCGATCATTACAGCTGTCGTATTCATACATTTCCTATAAGCAATGAGCAAAACAAACGAAAACAAAAACCACATAAATGACGCTCTCTGATTTCGACGGCTATCAATCAGTTCCTGCAATCGATTCTGTTTAGATTTGTGCCGTATCGGTGGCACTCAAGTTTCAAAGATTAAAATATCAAGTTCAATTATTTCAAGTGTGGGTTGACGACCCGCCCCTTCATCACATCATTAGTACTCACATTACGCGTTCTTTTGTGGAACTCTTCGGGAAACAAGAATGGGGGGATTAAAATTATTTTCCATTGAAAACAAACAGCTGTTGTTCTCTCAGGGCATCAATTATTATTTAACTATCAATTTAATTCAATTCACAACGAAAGGAGCTGTGTTTTTCCAGCAGTGGGAGCAGTTTAACAACAGCAGAAGCCCCAAGAGGGACTTACAGCATTCACTTATGCGTCTCGAGCCGCAGCCGATCAATGTGCCGCTGCTTAAGCCCGACTAAGACTAAAATACTGATATTATGGTACACAATTTGTTGGTGTCGCTTGCTTGCTGTCGCTGCCTGCCTGTCTTTATTTCTTTCATAAATATATTGCCCTAGTATAAATATAAGTACATAAACTATATATGGTATATCATTTAATGGCTAATAGTCAACAGCTCTTACGGCAGTTGCTTTTTGGCTTGTGCACAAGTTATCAATTGTTGGTTGGTTAATTATTTCCAGGTCGTCGTTTCGTTCTATCACGATTGTCGATGTATATGGATGTGGCGGTGCCGTTGAATGTGTTCCTTTTTTAGTCCTTCTTACGCTCCAGATTGTTCTTTGCTGGCTGGTAGAACTCCTCGACAATGGCCTCGACCATCGTATTGAGAGTGTTGGTCAGCTTCAGCCAGTTCTTTTCCTCGGGCTTGCCTACTATCTCCGCATAGTACTTCACCTTAGGCTCCGTGCCACTGGTGCGCAGAGTGACTACAACGCCATTCTTGAAGGTAAACGTGATCATCTGGGAGCTGGAGCTGGTCGGAAGGGTGGCCTTTTTGTCGCTGGTGCTGCTGTCGTAGCCAGTGGTGAGATCACGCACGTGCTCGATCTCGTACGTGCCATTCAGGATGCTTTTGGGATAGGTGTTGGGCTGGTCGTCGTCAAAGTTGCGTAGGCGATGGAAGATGCGCTCTATGACCGGCGGACAGCGGCAGATTACATACGAGCAGACGCTGCTGTGGAAGCCGTACTTCTCAAAGATTTCGCGCAGCTTCTCCTGCAGCGTCATGCACTGGGTGCAGCGGAGGTAGCAGGCCATTGTTGCCGTATGGGCTGCGGCGCTGACTCCATCCTTGTCCAGCACGGCGGTGCCCACCATGAAGCCAATGGCCTCCTCGAAGGCAAACAATACGGTTTTGCCTGCCTGCTGCAGCTCGATGGCCTTGTTGCCCATCCACTTGAATCCCGTCAGAGTTTCGTGGAATTCAAAGCCTTCCTCCTTGGCCATGCTCCTAAGAAATTTCGAACTGACCGTGCTGGCGATCATGGCGCATTTGGACAGATCCGCATCGGGGTTGCGCGTCCTGTAGTTCTCCAGGCTCCACCAGCCCAGCAGGGCGCCCAATTCGTTGCCGCTGAAAAGCTTGTAGGAGCCGTCTTCCCCAATCTCGGCTACGGCAAGGCGATCGGCATCCGGATCGTTGGCGAGTATGACTTCGCTCTGGTTCTGCTTTGCCGTCTGTATGGACAGCTGCAAGGATGTCTTGCCCTCCTCCGGATTGGGCATGGGAGTGGTTGGGAACTCTGGATCTGCCTCGGCCTGCTCGACCACGGAAACGAAGGGTTTGAGGCGCACCTTCTCGAACGCCTGCTTCACATAGGGATGTCCCACGCCGTGCATGGCAGAGTACGTGAAGGATATGGGGCACTTGCCATTCATCTCCAGTAGCTGACAGGAGAAGTTCCGCTTCAGGGCATCGAAATAGAACGGAACGACGGCATCGTAGGGATCGTCCAAGATATCAGAGCAACAGAGAGCCGTGTCATCCCAGTTTTCGGACTTGGGCTCGAGATTTTCCATTATCGACTGCTGGATGCCCGCATCGTGCGGCGGAATAATCTGGGCTCCGTTGGTCCAATACACCTTGTAGCCATTGTCCTCCTTGGGGTTGTGCGAGGCGGTCACCATCACGCCGGCAAGGCACCCAAGTCTAAGAATCGTATAGGGAACTAAGGGAGTGGCCACCAAGCGCTTGAAGAGATAAACGCGAAAGTCGTTGTTCAGAAAGACAATGGCCGAGAGCTCGGCAAAGCGGTGGCTGTTGTAGCGTCCATCGTAGCCAAAGACAATGCCGCGCTCCTTCTGGTCTTCGGCATTCGGATACTGCGCCTTTATGTACTCGCACAAACCCTGGGCGGTTCTGTAACAGTTGAGATTTTTGCCTCAATAGTGAGCCAGTACAAGGTTTATGTTTGCTTGGGACTCACTGAATAACCACCAGCTCATTCATGGAATCGAAGCCGGCACGCATGCAGGCCCGCAATCCTGCCGTTCCAAAGGTTATGCGGTTGCACAGTCTCTTCCGCAGCCTGGTTGTTAATGCATAATTGGGCGTATTTATTGTGTAAAACTATCAAATGTATAGGGGGGAGGGGTACTGCTTACGTTTCCCAGTCTTGGGCCTTTACGGCGTCCATGATCTGGCAGGAGGTGCTGGGGCACCTGTCCCATCGTATCCATTTGCGGATCTGGCCATCCAGCTCTGGATCGCCAGACAGACTCATATTTTTGAGCTGGCATATCATTTGCGACGTTGGCTGACACATGGTGAAAACGACGGAACCACCGAGAGTCGCCTAATTTTCGATTGATTGGATGAATTTAATTTTGAAGAAGAATGCTACCGAAAAAGGGGGGCCAGGCCGAGCAATAAAGCACTGACAGTAATTTCACAACACGGAAACGATTATGAGCTCACGGAACGGCTGATTAAGCACACTCTCGCATTAGCAACTACCTCGATGGGGCGGGGTCACTTTTAACTGATAACGCTCTGCGGGAGGTCGCTTCGCTGGGATCTACCAAATTTAACTTAATTTGACGTACGAGTACCCCGGTATTTATATATGCGGCAGCTAGAGATGGATAGGACAGCGAGCTAGAGATGCGCACAATTCGATTGGATATTGGATTGTGCATTTTCCAACACTGTTTTTCATCCCTGACAAAATTCGTGACAGGCCAGGCCGACGCTGCACAAAAAATAAAAACAGATTTGTTTCTGTTGTTTGATTTGTATTATTAACTTAAAATGGCTGATGTACTGGACATTGACAACGCCGAGGAGTTTGAGGTCGACGAGGACGGTGACCGTGAGTACGCAGCAGGTCTTTAGTGGCTCGCCGGTCTCATGGCTTTCATTTTCTCTCTCCCACGCTGCAACCAAACCACCAATACCCTGCACCGCACACAGAGGGCATAGTGCGCTTGAAGGAAAAGGCCAAGCACCGCAAAGGACGTGGTTTCGGGAGCGACAGCAACACCCGCGAGGCTATACACAGCTACGAAAGGGTGCGCAACGAGGACGACGACGAGCTGGAGCCGGGACCACAGCGGTCTGTCGAGGGCTGGATACTGTTTGTGACCTCCATACACGAGGAGGCCCAGGAGGATGAGATCCAGGAGAAGTTCTGCGACTACGGTGAGATAAAGAACATACATTTGAATCTGGATCGTCGCACCGGCTTCTCCAAAGGCTACGCTCTTGTTGAATACGAGACGCACAAGCAGGCGCTTGCCGCAAAAGAGGCTCTCAATGGCGCCGACATCATGGGACAGACCATCCAAGTAGATTGGTGCTTTGTGAAGGGACCCAAGCGTGTGAAAAAGTCCGAGAAACGTCGCAGATAGGTTGGCCGCCCAACAAGGACTTCCAGCCAAACGAATACTTTTTCAATTAGTTTAATGCATCATAGGCCACAGTATAAAGTCTACACTCAAATGAAATAAAACAAAGTTGACAACACTTTACATAAAAGCCGGGTATCTCAGTATCTCTTATAATTGTAATATATTTAATATACCCATTCTTTCGGGAGGAAAAGAAACAATCTAAAATCTTGTACATTTCGATGATGCTCAGCGATTATTTCATCTTCTTCTGGTGCAGCAGATGCTTTCGCAGGGAAATCTGCTTGTCCCGGAAACTCTTCTTCACCTTGGAGCGCGCCTTGTGACGCATCATGCCAAAGTTCTTGGTCTTGCGCTTCTCGCTATTCGTCTTGGAGCAGTGCTCGTTGACACGTCCATCCTTCCAGCCGAAACGTTCGCGATCCTGTCGGCCCGCCTGCACAGTTTCCAAACGCGACTCCTTGTCGTGCTTGCGCTTCTTGAAGATCATCTCGATGCTGTTCAGCTTTACGAATTCGGCACGATCCTGCTCGAGCGGGCGCTTGCGGGAATTTGTGACGGTCTTTTTCAGATTAGCAGCATTGATTCGCTTGAAGTCTTCGTCCGTAAAGATGCGAGTCAGTGCCAGTTCTTGGGCAGCCTCCTTTTGGTTGAGAATTTTCAAATCTTTCTTTTCCTTTTTCTGTTTAGCTGCCTCTTCGTCACTTGCTGCATCCTCCTCAGCGTTGGAGTCATCCTCCTCCTCCTCTCCTTCATCGCTGTCCCCATCGTTTTCATCTTCAATCTCATCATCATCTTCCTCCTCTTCGTCGTTGTCGTCGTCTGCTCCGCCTCCTTCCCCATCGCTGTGGGTCACGGTCACCCACTGACCATCATTTGAGTCTGAATCTTCATCGCTCTCAATGTCAATGGTCTTGGAGTTCTTGAGGAGCGCCTCGGCGCCGAGTACTGTGTCGTGGACTTCGCGCTCTCCATAGGCCCGAACCTTCCGCTCCGCCTGTGCCTCTGTTTGCCGTCCTCGATCCTTCTTATGCAGCAGAGCCGGCAACTGTTCGCGGTAGAGTGTGATTAGCGAACGAGCGGCCATCATCACAGACTTCTCCTTGTACGTTTTGTACATGGCCAGGTCCTGCAGCAGATCCTCGCCCATGGCCAGGGGGCAGCGCATGCAAATCTCACGCGTGGCATTCAAGCCGATGGCCATGACATCGCTGGAGTTACGCTCTGTAATGAAATTGTTGGCGACTGTCTTCAGGATGGGCTCAATGATGTCGCCGGGCACCAGCTCGTGGGACGCCTGGGCGGCGAACTGGAGCACGCGGGTCACCTGGCGCTGATGGGGCTGCAGAAAGCGAGTTATATACGGATAATAGCCAAACAGGAAGAGCTCGTGAATGCCGATCAGACGGGATATTACATCAAGGTGCATCAACTTGACCTCGAATCGCTCGTTGGTGGACTGCAACTGCTTAAAGAGGCCCTCGGCCATGCCTTGGGGGTTGTGCACCAAGTGAATGCCGGAGAAATTAAACGCTGGCGCATTCTTTTTCTTCTTCTGTGCCTTGACGGCCTGCTTCTTGATCTTTTGCAGTTGCTTCTGGCCCTTCTTGGTCTTCTTGCTGACCCGATTGGCCAACAGAGCACCCTTCAGGTCCACCTCGTTTTCACTCTCCGTGTCCGGTTCTTCGTCCTCTTCGTCGTGGCCGAGGAAGAACTTCAGCGATGTGACCAGGACCTTGGTTACCTTGGAGAAGCAGCCCACTGTGGCAATGACATTCACCGATTTGGGATCATTCCAGATGTTCTTCTTGTACAGCTCGATCATTATGTCCACAGACATCTTGGCGGCTTTCGGATTGGCGTCTTTCAGCATGGAGTACATGAAGTTTTGCAGGCTCTGCAAAGTATTTGATTAGATTGCGAGATAAGCCAGCAACAAGTGCTTGAAATGATTCGTTACCGAGTTTAGCTTCATATCCTTGTGCTTGGCATTCATATTCTTGATGTCGGTGACAATGTGGGCCTGCAGAAAGGTCCGTAGATTCTTGTCCGGGCAGCGCAACAGCTGGAAAAACAGTTCCAATATGTCCAGTGCTGGCACCAGGTTCTTGTTGCGCAGTAGAATCAGCGCCTTGACAAAGCAATTCCTCATGGCTGGATCCAAGACGGTGGCGTAGTTCCTGAGCAGATCGGCCAGGTGCTTTGGGAATAGCTCGCAGGCAGCCGGATAGCACTGCGCCACCTGGGCCACGAACATGACAGTGTCATCCAAAGATTTGTTTTCCTCGCTCGGGTTCAAAGCAAACACTTCCAGCAGACTCAGAAAGTGCTGGTACTGAATGTGAAACTCATCGCTGTACGACTCCGGATCACGCTTGATCAGGTTCTGCAACTGCGGAAGATTTTCCGGCAGTTGATTATTGTTGGGCCGCACCATGGTGAGCCGTAGAAATTTGCCAAAACCGAAGTAAAATTATAAGATCCAATGCACGTGTTGGGGGTGTTCGTAAACGAACGAATCACATCACCTTAACCCACTTAAGCCACTAGTAAAAAACAACGTATATTTAAACAGTTGAGTTGAACAACTTGAGTTTGTAAACTTTCCTGGATCTATCCTTTCTCTTTACCATTACCATTCACTCTGCTACAGTCCATCAAGTTTCATAAGTTCCGTTGACATTTTTTAATTCGCACTGGTCCTGGTTAATCGTTAAATTGCAAGGTGTGTGACCTAGAGAGGGAACACGACAGTTCACACCTTTTTCGCAACCAACAGCTGTACCATTACGATTCAGCGTTAGCCAGCACAGACAGCAACTACCGTCAAAGAATTAATTTTCTTCTCGCCTTCTAATTGCAAAATGATGGAACTGCAGCTGAATGACGTAGATTTAGAGGATGGCGAGGTAAGTAAAACTGTTTGTGCGACCAAGAGGCGGGGGTAGTTAATACACTTCCCTCTGTAGCTAGAGAGCGACGACGACGAAATTTATACACCGCTGCAACGACCTGCACCCACTCCCGCGCCGGGTACAGGTGCCGAGAGTGTTGCAAGCCCTCACACTACTTGCCACCAAACTCAAACCGTTCTGGATGATGATGATGAGTCCCAGACAAACAGCGACTCATCGTCGGGCGAGTCCTCAGAGGAGGGATGCATAAAGAAGCTTCGCACAGATCCCGACAGCGGCCAAAAGAAGCGAAAGAAACGAATCAAGCGCACGGTTATGCGGAGAGTTCTACCCACAGACAGAGAGATGCTGCCCAATCGTACCCGCTTCAAGAAGTACAACGTGTGGACAGCCGCCCTTCAGGAGGATGCGCTCAGTGAGAATATGCGTGGATGTGATGTTACTCGCAGTAGCCGGGATCGGAACGTGGAGAACTACGACTTTTCGTTTAGGTACCGGCTTAACGGCGAAAACCTGCTGAAGCGTCGGCTCTCCAATTCATCCGAGGATGAGGCGTCTGCACATCCAGCCCACAAGAGGGGCCGGCCATCGAGTCGCTCCACAGAAGAGTATCCTCAGCGAGGATCGGTCAAGAGTCGCCTCGGACATCGTACGCGGCGCGGCGCTTCGTCGACCAGTGGCTCATCTGACAATTCGTGCGAGCCACGACATATTCTCGACCTAAACGACATAGCTGGACGCGATCCATCCGATGTGGCAACGGAGATGGCCAGTAAACTGTACGAAGAAAAAGACGAATTGCTAAGTGAGTAGTTTGGGAATTGGAAAATAGACAATACTGATGATGATAATGAAAATATTCAAACTCGTAGTCCGTGTTGTGGAAGTTCTGGGCATGGATCTACCCCTGGAGCTGTATAAAGAAACACAGCGGATCGAAGCGGATGGTGGCATGATGATCAAAGTAAGTAGCTGCCAAAAGGACGACGTTTGCCACTGATGACTGACTGATGATTGAATTACAGAATGGCAGGCGAAGACGTACACCAGGCGGTGTATTTCTATTTTTGCTAAAGCACCACGACAATATTACGCCAGAGCAACAAAAGTCTATCTTCGATGAAGATCGCCAGAATCTGAACAAGTCTCGCAAGCAGATCGAAACGCTGATGCGTGACCGAAAAGTAGAGGAGCTAAAGAAGTGTTTGAGTAAACAAAGCACCGAATTGCCTTCGCTATGCCAGCGCAAAGAGCATTATATGCAGGCAGACGAGCTGAGCGCCCAGAGTCAACCTGGCAACTGTAAGAAACGTATTGATAAGCTTTCAAGATATTTAATTCATCTAATGCTGAATGTTTTTCCCCAACAGTATCGAATCCTCCGCCGTCGCCAGTGGGGCAGGAGCAGGAGAGCCCAGAATATAAGACACACGAGATAAACATAAATCTCGTGGATAATGCTGAACTACCATCTACATCGAAGGCGGCCGCTTTGGCGGCATCACCGGCCCTTAAGGAGCTAGTTAGCTATGATGACGATTTTTTGGATGTAAACTGTGGAGAAATGGACTTCTTCTAGGCTAACGCAAAGCGTTTACGTGAAGTCGGACCCAGCTTGGGTCCCATTTTTGTACTAAATTTATATAGTTAGACCCTCATTTGTACATTTAAATAAATGCCTCAGACGCCAGAAATAAATATAAACAAATTCGAACCCGTTATGGTATTACCCAAACGCGTTAGGGTATCCTTGTTGACTTTTTGTTGCGTTAGGATATCGAATAATCGATTGGTTGGCAACTCTAGTCGCATTCACGACGGACGCCGCTTGAAATTATTATTGTAGCATTTTTTTAATATTAAATAATGAAAATATAGTTTACATTTATGTGTTGTGCGTGTCCTAGACTTATGCTCTTGAGCTAGCAACTTCCGTGTTGGCAACGTAATCGATCGAAGGATTAAAAATAATAGTAATGCGAAAGACCCGCTCGCAGACTCGCACGCAGGCGGAAAATGCCGCAACACCCCCAGCGGCCGGACACCAATCATCGTCGACTGCACCAACAACAATAAACCCCTTTGATGCGGGCAAATACAAGGTAAGTTTTCCCCGAAAGTTTAATTCACCAGATTCCCAAAACAATTTTCAATAAATATTAGATGATTGATAAGCATGCAGAGTAGAGTGACCACAAGCAAATAATATTGTGGCGCCACCTGGTGCAGGAAAAGGCAACCAAAGCAGTGAAAATGAAGCCCATCCGGCCGTTTGCCAGCACTGCCATCCGCCATATTATTTCAGACCGTGCGGACAAAACAAAATTGCTGTGACAAAAAGAATTCTGTGCGGGCGTTTGTATTAACAAGTTACATGAAATAACAAATATCTTGTCAAGTGAAGTTTGCATGCACGGGTCCGTCGGGGGGCAACAATTATAGCAGCTGATCGGTTTAGTGAAATGAAGCGCTTTCTATGAACGCCATTTTTGCCCAGCAAGGTAATGTGTTTTGCGGGACATGCTACAATTTTTCCTTTCCCATGTACATAGTGGCTGTCAACGCAGACCTGTGTCTGTTCGGTTGACAAAAAGGCAGTTTAAATCTACCTGAGGATTCGGGGAAATGTGAAGAGCAAGACCAAGACCAAGAAGCTAATTAAATATGCGAGTCGAGAGCATGCCGGACGCCCTTTCAGCACACAACACACATACTACACGCTCTCGTCTATGCACATAAATGCTCATACATATATCGGAAATACATATGTATTTAAGACTGTGCGAGTGTGAGTGCGCTTGGTGTAGAGTCCCGCTTTTTTGCATCCGGAATTTGATCAACTTTGGATTTTGTTTTCCCACTTATCTTTGCAGGAATGTGAGCAAATGGTGCAGATGCTCCGTGTCGTAGAGCTGCAAAAAGTCTTGTCGTTCCTTAACATTTCCTTCGCTGGCCGAAAATCCGATCTGCAAAGCCGCATTTTGTCATATCTGCGCACCAATTTGGAGCTCTTGGCCCCAAAGATACAGGAAGTTTACGCTCAATCCGTGCAAGAACAAAGCGCCACGCTGCAATACATAGATAACGCGAGAATGTACTCGCACATGCAGATGCCACCTTCGGTGCAGCCCAATTCTGTAGGTCTGGTGGGTGGCGGATCAGGCCAGGTGCCGGGTGCGCAGATGTCCGCACAGATGGCCTCGCAGATGCCAGCCAATGTAATGCCCTTTCTGCATGCGCACGGCAACCAGCTACCCATACACCCGGATGTGAGACTGAAAAAGCTTGCCTTCTACGATGTGCTCGGCACACTGATTAAGCCGTCGACGCTGGTGCCCCGCAGCACACAGCGCGTCCAAGAGGTGCCTTTCTACTTCACATTAACGCCCCAGCAGGCCACCGAAATCGCCTCGAATCGCGACATTCGCAACAGTTCAAAGGTGGAGCACGCCATTCAAGTGCAGCTGCGTTTCTGCCTGGTGGAGACTTCATGCGACCAAGAGGACTGCTTCCCCCCCAATGTGAATGTCAAAGTGAACAACAAATTGTGTCAGCTACCTGTAAGTGTGAAAATCGTTGCGTCTCCCACCACCAATAATCTCACTAATGCCATTTGATATCCCTTTCCCCCCTCCCAACAGAATGTCATTCCAACAAATCGACCAAATGTGGAACCAAAACGTCCGCCCCGGCCTGTGAACGTAACCTCCAATGTGAAACTGTCGCCAACCGTTACCAACACCATAATGGTTCAGTGGTGTCCCGACTACACGCGCAGCTACTGCCTGGCAGTGTATCTGGTGAAGAAGCTGACATCCGCACAGCTGTTGGTGCGGATGAAGAGCAAGGGCGTGAAGCCGGCAGATTACACACGAGGCCTGAGTAAGCATATACCACATCTTGGCTACCTCGGATAATCCATGTGAATATTAAACACAATCTTCGTTGCAGTTAAGGAAAAGTTAACAGAGGATGCCGACTGCGAGATAGCCACCACAATGCTGAAGGTATCGCTCAACTGCCCGCTGGGAAAGATGAAGATGCTGCTGCCGTGCCGAGCGTCAACGTGTTCGCACCTGCAGTGCTTCGACGCCAATCTCTACCTGCAAATGAACGAGCGCAAGCCCACCTGGAATTGCCCGGTGTGCGACAAGCCGGCCATATATGACAACCTGGTTATCGATGGGTATGTGGATGGATCTCTCTGTCAATGGATGACATGAGCGTTACTGATCAACCATGAATTTTGGATACTCCCAACAGCTATTTCCAGGAGGTGCTGGACTCAACACTGCTAAAAAGCGACGACACCGAAATACAGCTGCATCAAGATGGATCATGGAGTACCCCGGGGCTGCGCAGCGAAGCTCAAATTTTGGATACGCCCTCCAAGCCAGTTCAAAAAGTTGAGGTCATATCGGACGACATAGGTAAGAAAATTAATGTACCTGATCTGATCCATTGCTGATCCTCAATTCTATCTCCTCTTAGAGCTAATTGCGGACGATACCAAGCCAGTGAAGAGTGATTTGTCCCCGGCACCAGATGACCAGCCAACGTCAACGTCGAACAGTGAAACTGTAAGTTTTGTCAGCATTCCCGGTTGATTGTAATTAATTTTGTAATTATCTGATTATCTGATTTGACAGGTGGATCTGACGTTAAGCGATTCCGACGACGATATGCCTCTGGCCAAGCGTCGTCCACCTGCAAAGCAAGCCGCCGCTAGCTCCACCGCCAATGGTAATGGTGGTGGCGGCCAACGTGCCTACACACCAGCACAGCAGGCCCAACAATCTGGTATGTTGGATCCATTTTTGCAATAAGCGCAATAAGTAAACCAATAATGTATAGCCAAGAATTCTTTATATATATTTATAAAGTGCTGTTTGTAGACTATATATATATATATGTATATGTATATCTATATATAAGGATCCATCCACACCCCCCCACTCGCTCACACACACACACACACCCTCACCACAGACTCAGTCACACACACACCTCCACCCACCCACCCACATAGTACATAAAGGCATTTTAATCGTAGCGTAAGAATTCCGAGCTGAAAGTTTCGTCCTGCTCCTTGCAGTTAAATTGGTAATCGCATTCATCCAACTGGACAAAATCTCTCAAGCTAGAACAGATTTGGTTTGGGGGGCACCCCTTTAGTCCATTCTTTTAAAAACAATTTTGAGTAGCCTGTGAGTTTTCCCTTTTCTATGTTCCGCTTCAGTTTCAGTTGTGGGAGCGCACGATCTAGATGAAATACAGAAAAAAAATTTACAAAAAAGTCGCTCTGTAAATTTTAAAGATTTGAAATTCAAAGCCATGGAGATACATCATGTGGAGGACTTTTGCATTGTTGGCGTCGGGGCGATTTTGCACTTGAGCAATCTGAGCCTAATTTCGGCACTCAATAACACAGCCACGGTGCTCATGCCGAACGCAGCCTCCTTGCTGGTGACCGTGACCTTGCTGGCTTTGCTGTCTCAATGGCGGCCTGGCTTGAGCAGCTTGGTGGTATCGAATCGTTCGCAATATGTGTTCCTACTGATGGTGGAGCTGATGATCATAATGGGCTTGGTGGAGCTGATGCTGGTGCAGATCTGGGTTCCGATGCTCATCAGCCTGAATATCGTGTGCGAGTTCACTACCCACGCACTCTTGATGGCCAACAATGAATACCTTGTGTACAATACACCACATTTCGCCCACTGGCTGCGCTCCAAGGCCTTCTACCAGGCCCGCTTCCTTCTGGCTTTGTCCATTTCCGTCGGAATCCTCCTCTCCCAGGGCTGGCGGTCAGTCATACTGAAATTTGTGCAAAATATTCCCATGTCGACGCGACGCGGCATCACGAGCATGGAACGTGACATTAGAGCAGGTGCCACCACAGAAGTTCCGAAGGAGATTACTCATAAACTTCGCCACATACCCTTGGGCGGCGGCCATGAGCCAGAAGAAGAATATAAATGCTAGGGGGTGGCGCGGGTGCGAAGGCAAAATGACGAAATTTTGAAATTTTTGGTGTCTTGATATATTTGTGTTTTATTTTGTTATTATTTTATTTGATTATATTGTAGTTGCTGGAGATTCGGGTTCGTCTCTTTATAAACGTGTCAATTTACAGCACTGGTTGCGCTTACGGTAGGTTCTCATGTCCAGCTTTCGTTTATGCGATCGCGTGACTGTGATGTGATTTCATCGTATGCATGCTCTCGATATCACAATGTGCGTAGTCGCATAAACGTGATCAGGCCCCGTCCGGCGAAATGAATCTCTTTCTGTGCACTCAATTTCTTGCAGTAAATCCAATCGAAAATCAGTCGGCAAGGATGGCACCGGTTCCGGTTTGAGGCATCCAAACGTGGGTTGATGAGTCTAGAATCCCCTCCACCCAATATTATTAATTTTATAAACACAAACGTCTGTTCTGTTCTTTTACTCTGTATGTATTTTATTGTCACTCGCCGAGTCGAGTTTATCCAATGTACCCACCCGCATAAAATAAAATGTTATTTATCTTAGTAGATTTCGTCAGTTGAGGGTTCTTTGTAGTACGCATGGTGTGCATCCATGCATCCCACCAGCCACACTGCCTTCCCCTCCCCTTCTGTCCATCCGTTTTTGGTTCGTTTTTTTTGTTTTCTCAATTGTTGTTGTTGTGTTGATATGATGATTATGTAATTGTATGTACTAATTGAAGTAACTGTGCATTTCTTGTCTTTTCTTCTCTCTCTCCCTCTCTCTAATTTCTCTGCTGCTCTCTCCTTTTGTGTATCGTTTGGCTCTGTGCTGCCGCCGATGTGTAGAATCGCCAGGCCAGCAAACAATGGCCCATCAATCGTCTGAGTCGCAGCAGGTGTTAGAACTAGAACAGCAACTGCAGCTGCAACTGCAGCATCAACAGCACGAGCAGCCAGCATCAGCAGTGCACGCCACTCTACTGGAGTCCCTGGCTGCTGCGGTGGCGGATCAAAAGCACTTTCAACTGTTGGATCTGGCTGCAGTTGCGGCTGCTGCTGCTGCCACAGCGTCAGCGTCGTCCGGGCAAAGTCAAAATGGTGGTCCATAGAAACACACACACACACACACACACTCAAACACGTGCATTTTTCACACACTCACAAACACACACACACACTCATACGAACTATGATTTTCGATTATAATTTGCATTTACAGTTGGTTTGACCTTTTATTTTTGCTTTGTCTTTCCTCCCTCCCTCTTACTCTCGGCTGTCTCATTTGTCGCCATTTTAGAGGATATTTTTTTTCCCCCTCAGAGGCTTTTTTTCTACAAGTTATTCGCATCAATTCCATCAATTCGATGACACATCCATTCATAGCGTAGCAGAAATTGATGTTTAAAATTTTATTTATGTATATGTGTTGCAGGATGCAGACAAAACATGTTGAAGGTGCAATAGAGACTTTTGTTGACCTCACCCCTTACCTACACCACTCCGCTGCAGGGTGGTCGCCCACTTTATTTGTCCTGTGTCCATGTCCCTTTTTGCGTTGTTTCCGTGTCAGTTGTGTCCAATGTCTTGTCTGCAGTTTTTAATCATGTCTCCACGCTACCCAAAAACAGATTTTACATCCGAAACAAAACCCTGTATTCATCCCCCCCACTAGAACTTACAATAGGCATCGTAATTTATTTATTTTTCACTTTTGAATAACCGATCGTGGAATGTTAAAGCCCTACGCACCACTAACATTAGTATACATAAATCAAATGTTAATATTTAAGTCCTACCAATGCAATTTGGAAGTATTCCTATGCACTAGCCGCGAGGAGGAGACAGTTAAGCTAATTAAGTTATTTTAGTTATCATATGATGTGGAATAGAGTAGGGTATTGCTGCCGAATGCTCGCTCCCCAAGTGCGTTTGGTTTTTATATATTTATTATGCTTTTGCAAATCAGAGCGAAATTGCATTAAATTATATGAATAAATTTTCTTTACCGCAGAAGACCTTCAACTAAAAAAAAGAAAATAGTTCGGACTAAGTAGGAATTCAAATTTTACAATAAATAAGTATGTATATCACAAATCACTAACCTAATCCGAACTAATGTTTGATCCTTTATTTAAGATTTAAGTTATAATGAACCCCAATTTAGTATAAAAACTGCTTTGATTTTGATTGGATGCCAAACCCCTAAGTTTTGATCTTAATTATCTGAACGAACAAACATGAAATCAATGTACAATAAGATGTGTACTTTAACTATATTATTAAAAAAAAAAAATCAAAAACAAAGTCATGTTGTTTTATTTGCACGAGGGGGCGGTCCATTAAAATATTCCTAATTAAAGCGGAGCAACATTTTGTTTATAGTTTTTTATTTAAATTATCATTTGGAATCTTTGTTTTTTATTGAGCACATCCGAAACTTTTTCTTTACTTGCAGAGGATAAAAGCACATTGGTTGCGATCAAGAGCAAAGAGGATTCTGTTATTGATCTTTTAGATTCGCCCTAACTTTAGCACCGCGCCGCACGCCCGCCCGTTCGTGAGATTCTGATATTTATGGTTAAGAAACCCCAAAGATTTTAGACTTGTCCCTATTATATATGTATATACGTATATGTATACATTGGGTCTGAAATTCAATGAAGTACAAGTGCGTAAGAGTATTCATTAAGATTAAAACACTCCCCATAAAAGTAGCTAGACGTAAGGAATACAAAAATAAAGTTGATTTATGTACCCGTTTGATTTTTGAAATTTGCCGCTCGAACAGCTGTTTTCCAGAGATGCCACCCCCACTCGCAGGTTGGCATCCCCACAGGTCTGTACTTTTACCTGTTTACCTGTTGGTTGTAGTTTTTGTTGTAGCGTCGTAGCTCGTGGAAACCAAACCAAACCAAACCTTTTGTTGAGGAACTCCTAAATTAGTGTTTAACTAGATTGAACATGCCAAGGCCAATTCTGTACTACGCTCTGTTCAGTCCTCCAGCCAGAGCTTGCATCATTACTGCAAAGCTAATTGGCTTGGACCTGGAGCTCAAGTAAGTTGCCCCCGCCCACGCACCTGCCTGCCAGCCACCTCATCGATTTCTACAAAAGTAAATTCTCTTTGCGAACAGGCTTGTCGATTTCACCAAGAAGGAGCATTGCAGCGAGGGGTTTTTGAAGGTACGCCACACTGACTAGCTCTAGCTTTCACTTGTTGAGCGACTTCCACACACTTTTCCCGCAGCTCAATCCCCAGCATCAGATTCCGGTATTCGTGGACACCGACGGCGAAGTTTATGTGGACAGCCATGCCATTATATGCTTCATGGTAGCCAAATATGCCAAGGACGATCAGCTGTATCCGAAGGATCTAAAGAGACGGGCGCATATTGATCACCGCTTGCACTACGAAAACGGGGTGCTATTCCAGGTAATCAAGGACATTGTGGCACGCAACATTTACGGCGGCGAGGCCGAGCTCAACCAGAGGTCCCTGACTCTCTGCCACAACGCCTACGCAGACCTCGAGCACTTTTTGTTGAACGGGAACTTTGCCGTAGGCAACGAGCTGAGCGTGGCCGATGTTTCGATTCATACCACACTGGTGACATTGGAATTGCTTATACCACCGGATCCGGATCGTTATCCACAGATTACTGCATGGCTCGAGCGAATGAACCCATTGATACCCGACAACGAGGAGATCAATATCAAGGGAGCCGAGGCGCTGAATGCACGGATCAGGAGCTGCATGGCCGCGAACAAGTTGAAGTAGACGCTCTAAGCGGGATCCATTCAATTGACGTGTTGGTTGTATATTGTTGAACTCGAATTTATTGGTATATTTTGTTAGGCTAATTGGTTTAAATACTTGCTACAATAGTTTCTGTCTGTCTTTTGATTTTTTGGAAGTCAAATGTACAATTCGTAGTTTTCGGATAGCTTCCGTTTCATGCAACTTACTAAATACAATTATTTACACAAACAAGACTTTTATTTACTTTGATCTGATCTGAACGAAAGAACGGGCCACTGAGAAGAACTCGACCACAGTACTTAATTTAAGAGTTCATTTGCTGTCATCGGCCATTGATCATCGGGATCCCATCCTGACTTCCGTATATCTTCTATCTCCTAGCTATTTACAACACATTTGAATGAATTTGAATCACACTTCTTTTGGTATATCTCTCTAGCGGGATGCGTATGCCCTCTAATCGAACGTCGTCCAGTTGTTCATACCCTTGCCAGCCGCACTCCCTGCCGTGATTATGGCCGGCTTCTGCTGCTGTTGCTGCTTCTCCGCTGCGTTGGCATTCAACGTGAACTGATCCAGCCCGTATTTGCGTAGCAGCTCAAAGTCATCGTCGGGCCTGGCGGCAATGGTGCTGCGTTGAATTTGCGGCGGCAACGGTGGAGCTCGACCTCCGGTCACTGCAGCGACCGTAGCCATGTGCTTGGGCGCAAAATACGGATAGAGTGGATTGCTGACACTGTTGCCCGACGTCGCTGTGGTTACCACACTGCTGTTGACGCCCGCTGGAAGTGTACAGGATTTCTTGTTGAAGACTTTGCTCAGCGGAGGAAGGGGCCGTGCATTCTGGTTGAGCGGGTCAAAGTCCTCCAGGTCGAAGCTGGTGTTGTTGCTATCGTCCAGCGATATCAGATCGTTCATGCTGTCCTCCAGCGGCTGATGGTGGTGGCGGTGATGCTGCTGCTGCTGTTGGGACTGCTGCGGGAAGGTAGGCACAGACAGAGGTTGGGATTGGTTAGAATACGGTTAGAGCCAAGGGTGTGCGGATGTTTTCTATGTTTCGGTTTCAACTGTGCTCTCATCCACTTATATACAATATGGAATAATGGCAATTGGACTACTTTCTACCAGTTACAAGCATCTACGAGTAAATTAAATTAAATTAAAAACAAGTTGAGAGCTTCGAGTATAAATGATTAGATTAGGGATGGCACTAAGAATGAATAAGGAAGGAATAATAAACAGCACGCGTGTATATCCCAGAAAGTTTAACAAAGACAATGCAGAAGAGAGTTATAGAACGGATTACCCAGATCTCAGTTAGTATTCAATATGCAAAATACAATATGTATTCGATGACCCTTTTCCATTCCGTTATATCTCGCTCACTCCGCAAGAGAGCGCCACTAGACAGGCAACAGAGAGAGTTAGAGCGAGCCCGTGGAGTCAACCCCGGGAAATAGCTATCTTCTCTCTGGGTAAATATACAAAATTTTTAAACAAATTAGAATCCGTGTCATATCATCACAGGTGTCTGTGCACAACATTTGGATGATTCAGCTCTAATAATTTATAAGAACTAGCCGAGCGATGTTAAATCGAATCAAGGGATCAAGGGAACACGAATTTAATATACCCCTAAACTCTTTCAGTGCCGGGTATAATTAGATTTCTGAATATTATACGGATGTTAATGGTGATCAAGGATATACACATGTATCTACTTTATGGGGTCTACAACTACTCACTTTATGAGAGGATTATTTCGTTAAATGATTAGATGAGTTCTACTTGCTCGCGAGCAACAGATGAACGGATTTGAAACTGAAAGGGGTTAGCTACGTTGGCCAAATGAGGCATGTGAGCAGGAGGAGCAGGCCGAGGAGGAGACAGTCTCTAAATAGGCGGTAGGGGAGTAGGGGGCACGACATGTGTGTGTTAGTGTGAGATGGTAGGAGGACCACAACCAGGATGGGCTTCTTATTTAATTAACGGCGCAGCTGGTGTACCTCTCTCTTGGCCCTTGGTGTCGGAATGGGCGGATCGGAGACATTCAGATGCGAGAACGTTGAGGCGGCCGTCACAAAGGAGGCGCCGGACGAGCAGGAAGACGACGTTGAAGATGCGTTAGAGTTGCGTACGGAATCGTTTGCGTCTGGCTCATCCTGCCAGCAGTTACGCTCTAGCTTGCTGATCTCCGCACTGACGGCTGCTGCAGTGGCGGCCACAGCATTGGAGCCGCATTGTCTCCGCGGCGGAATGGGAGGCGACTGCACATCCGGTGGACTATCAAAGCTGGAGTCCGTGGTGGGCAGTGGCTGACGAGGTTTGGTCGGCGTGGACGTGTGGCGCGGCGGCTTCGTCTCCACGTGCTGATGCGTTGCATACGGATGATTGTAGTAAAAGGCGGAGGCTGGCTGCGTGGACTGCATGGTCTGCGGAGGCGGTGGACGAGCCGGCGGCGCTCCTCCTCGCTGAGTGCGTGTGGTGTGGTGCTCTGCGCTTGGCTTAAGCTGCGCGGGTCAATGCCGATGATGTTTTTGCCGTTGATGTTGATGTGGTGTTGTGGCATGTGCATGTGGCATGTGTATGGTTGTGGTTTGAGTGTTTGTATGTTTGTGAAAGACATGAAGCGACAGCGACAGACAGTTGGACACAGACACGACACAAACACGGAAACAAAAACAAGAAGAGCATGAGAATAACATAAATTTCACAGTACATCGAGATGAGTGACGGACGACACGCATGGAGTCGAGTTAGCTTTGGGGCAGGATAAGCGGGTGAACCAACCACTCAAATCTAGAATTGGCGCGTGGCACGCCAGGCAGCTTTTGGAGCTACTGCTGCTGCTGCTGCAGCCGACTCTCGTACGCCCGCACCAGACTACTTACACTGCGATCCACGGCCGGCGTCTTGAACAGCGGATGGTTCTGCAGCTCCTGCGACAGGTTCATCTCCGACGATGAGCAGAGCGAGCTCGCCGAGCTGACAGCAGGAGACGCACCCAGATGATGGCCATAATGAGCAGCAGCATGCGCCCCGTACGCATGGCCGTTCGGCTGTATGTGGCTACTCGAGCTAGACATCGCCAGCGGAACGGGGCCGCGTCGCGTCCCGTACTCCCGCGGCTCTCGGGCCAGCGAGCCGTTTGTGTGGCTGCTGCCGGTGCCGGCGCCTGTGCCGTGAGCGCCTCCGATTCCATTGTCCAGCCGCTTGCTGGTGACCGGAGAACTGGGCGCCGAGTGGTGGGCCGCTCCAAGGGCCCTGCCACTGCGCATGTATCCCCCACTTCCGCCATCCGGTCGGTCCGAGTGGGTGGGCGAGCCCAGGCCAAAGTGGAAGTTGGTTCCGCCCAACTGGTTGCCGTTCTCTCGCAGCTTGGTCTTGAAGCCTTTGTAGGCGGTCTTCATGCCCCGCGAGCCGTCCTTCACCTGACATATGGATGGCAAAATATACAGGTTAGCGGGAGGACTTTTACCATTGCAGGAGGTCAGACAAAGAGACTTTACTTGGGG